ACATACACATATACAGACACAGAGAGAGAGAGAGAGAGAGAGAGAGAGAGAGATGTTTGAATTCAATTGAAATAAGAACTTTGACAATAATGAGTCTATCAGGGTACTTAAGAACCCTAGAGCTCCTAATGTCAAGGTTTACTTCATGAACCTTCTCTAATTATTACTGCAACATCAAGAGGTGTACCGCGAAGCCTTTTCTAAATTCAAAAAAAGTTAACAACGAGTTAAAACGAGGCCGCATGTAGTGGTAACAAGGATCTTAACTGTAGGTCTACTACATACGGAGGTGAGCAGCTGCATCTGAAATTGAACCCTAAGGCCCCACATGATGGCACGTAGAAGCAGAGCCTAAATCGGCCATCTCCTGTGACCTAAACTTAGACCAAAACCTGGGGCTCGGCCATTGTGGCAATAAGCGGCAAATCTGAGCCATCCAAAGGCAGCTCACTATATTAAAGCCACGGGGAGTACATTCCCTGCTTTGTTTCTCCCCCCCTCCGCTCCCCTACCCTCCCCTCCCCGCCACTCTTTATTTAGAGGGGTTGCTAGTGGAGCCCCATCTCCAAACCAGGAGCCAAGATCCCTTTCCGAGCCCATGTTCGCCTCATGTGCTGGTGTGTGCCGAGGTGTGCTGTGCTCGTCGGGAACGCGGCTCCCCTCAAGTGTTCACGATCGGGGACAATTAGAAGTCTGCGACAGCCCACCATAGAACAACCGCAGGTATATCCCCCCCCTGCAACCCCGAACTCATTGCAATGTCAGGGCTGCCAAATACCCTCTAACAACTTGCACTGCGAAGCAATTTGCCCCTCCGCTAGAAGTATCTGGAGGTAATCAGAACGGGCTAGAAGTAGCTGCGAATCTATTGATTCCTGATACGCCATAGCTGCTTATCATGCCCATTGCTGCTGCTGCTGCTGCGTTAGAGAAAAGACAGTTGGAAGGATAAAAGATGTCGTTTTCTTTTAGCAAGCCATTCACGAACTCTAGTTGGAAGGATGGGGTGGCCCCATAAATTAGCCACCTGAGTTTTGTAAAGTGGAGGGTTGGCAGAACTTTACCATTGCGTGATGTCATATGGACGATGCTGTTCTGATTAACTTCACCCTTAATGTCAACTAATATAAAATTGGAGCTATTTTGGAAACAAACTGATTGTGGGGTGTGCTTGCTTGTGTTAAGGCATTTGTAATTCGTCTAGCATCTTACTTCCCTCCTAACATTAAGGTCAATTGAATTTGAAGCTAAGATATACTTGATTTTTTCCATGGTCTTTAAGTTTAAAAATTTTAAGTTTATGTAAATCACATTGAATTTATATTACATCTTACTCAAAGTAAGATAAAATAAATATCACTAATTTTTTATATTTTTTGCAGTAAGTAATATGAATTCGTTTAAAAAGGTATCTCAACAATATTTATGCAGGTCTTTGTGACAATAGTTTAGTGTTGGTGCAATTCATTTTTATATTATAAATTGAGCCAAAATTTTATAAGTTTCAGCACTACAGTATTTCAAGCTGACTTAGTTTGATATGATTGATTTATGAGTAACCACAAATCAAAAACATTCTTATATATATATATATATACATATTTAAGAATGTGGGAATATGTATGTATATATATATATATATATATATATATACAAATATATAAAGTGGGAAAACATGAACATGTTACTAGTTATTTATCACAACCCAGCTATATTTTTGTCAAAGTAACACACAATTAAACACCTATGAATATGCAGTCAATGATTATTACCTTGGATGCATGCTATTAATATGATACTATTAAATTTACCAATTTACTGCTAATTTGGTCCATGAGGGGGTCAAGAATCCTTGGATGCTATTTGTATGTTTCCATATTTGGGTCCTAAACAGACTATATGAAGTTGTGCTACAGCAATCATATGCCCTTTCTTTACTATTAAAATACATCTTATTTATCCACAAATTGGAATTAGTGTAAGTTATATTGAAACACATCATGATCCATTCAAACTGATAATTGAATAAGAATTTCAACTTTTTGGTGTCCTGTTTTCTCCAACCAATTTGGACCCTGCTTCTGTGCTCAAACAGTATTTCATGTTATGCTTGTGGAGTTGATCACATGTTTCTCATGGACAAATGCTACATGCCACTGAGATGGAAAATAAAGAACCATGTAAATTAAGAAAAAGGAAAAAATAAAATAATAGCACCTGCTGTGTAATGTGATTATAAATCTAACCTTCAATTTGTACAATTTATTATTTAAAATAATAATAATTGGAACCAAACTACATGTGTGTGTCTGTATATATCTACATATGTATACATACACAAACATGCATTTTTGGGTAGGGGCAGATTTTCCATTTACCTTGTACTATCATGTTTCCAAGTCAACGCAAATGTCTCATAGCTATAACTTTTTCCCATTGGACTTTCAACACTAGGACTTCAAATTACTACTATTATTTTAAAGTTTAAATCCACTTCTTTATGTGTGAAGATACCTACACAAATGAAAGTCACAAATGCATGGATGCACCACAGAAATAGAGCAAACAGCAAGATGAAGAGGAAATGATGTCTCTGCAGCTCTTGAGATGTTGGGTTTGAACCCCAACACCAACAATGGACACCATTTTCCTTTCCTGACTTGTGGATACTAGGTATTCTTTATCATTCAAAAAATATATATCATCTGTGTCCATTGCCATTGGGCTATCAAGATCAACAGGCATGTCAAAAGGTTTTGAAGTTGCCCAGTGATTGTTTGTTTGTTTGTTTGTTTTGTTCTGTTTTTCTTTGCTTGTTAAGTTGGATAACTGGCTACCAGAGACATTCATACCTTCCTGGTTAGGAGTCCAAGATTGGTTTCTCCCTAGACAACTGAAGCCATGTTAGCTGTATTTTATTTCCTGGGCTTACTCAGCATGATAACCATACATTTTTTCTGTCATACTGGGAATTTGTACGTGTTATTATTGTGCTGTTTAAACAAAGTATTTCTATTTCCTCTTCTCTTCCCTTCCTTTCTCTTTGGGGGTGTTCTTGCAGACATCTACCACTGGAGGTTGGAGCTACTGGATGCAAGCATACAGCCTCTGTTCAACTCCTGGGAACATGTTCCCAAGTCAGAAAAGCTTACTTGGTGGTCATTTGCCAAGCACAGTCCAACCAATCCCCACTGTACTCCTGTGAACCTAAGCTGCAACAAAGTCTGCCATTCAAGCATAAAATTTTCCCATCCTCTGCTGATCTCTCAATGTGAACACTGCCCATCATGTGTCCAGCCTCATGGGTTGTGTTACTTCGAGGTGGGGCCATCATCCTTAGTTACTGCTAGTGGTAGTCAAGCAGAGCAGCTTCAAAATAGTGCACCTTTGACTTACAAAGGAGCCACCAGAAGGATTTTCCAACATGAAAGATAATTGGAAGTATGAAGAATGTCATCTATTCTTTTTAAGCAAATCCCAAAAACCTTGAACATAAATTTTGTTTTATTGTTTGTTTGTTCCTCCCCCTTTTGTCAGTACTTCCTACTTATCATTTATAACAAGGATCACATCATTCTCCAACTGAAAAAAAATAAAAATAAATTATAATTGTTGGGGAATGTTCTCTCGGTACCCAATGAGTCCAATTTAAAAGAATAATTCTGGCAGCACAGCCAGATTATCACCATTTTCCGGCCAGCAAATTCTCCATGTATTCCATTCAAGCTTCTTCTAAGTGCTCATCTGTCACCATGTTGAGCTCCAGGTTGTGATTCACTTGCTTTGAATTAAGAAATGCTGTGTGTGTCATACAGACAATTCAGTGGTTACTGCTTACATATGTGTATAGGCTACTGTCCAGCAAGCAGTTCTGTTTGCAGAAAACTGAAAGTACTTTGTGTGCACCTCACAAATGAATGCTGTCTTTTCTATTAGTTTTGGGTTCCAAACATCTGTTATCCTCCTATCCAAACAGAATTGTACCTGGCAGAGCAGACATATGCTTGGAATTGGTTTGTAATAGTATCCAAGAAAGTTCTTCCTGACCTAAAGCTCTTTATTCTCCAGTTGCCACGAGAGGATGGATGTTTCACCATCCAGAGTGCCTGTAGCTCCACTTTTACCCATGCACATCCTGCACAAGATTTGAAAGCTCAAATTGGCAACCTCCCCCACATGTGTTCCCCTCCCCCTTTGCAAGAAGAAAGGTAAAAACAGTGGGTATATGAAATATGGAAGAACATCTGAACTTGGGTAAATGATCTGAAAAAATAAAAATAAAATAAAAACTAGACCTCAATGCATTCTGTACACGTGGGATAGGACATGGATGGCAAGGAAAGTGCTACAACACAAGGAAGATAGAGAAATTAGATAGAACAATAGAGTTATACTTAGTGGGGTCACAATCAATCCCACCCACAAACTTAGTAAGGTTTTATAACACTCCATTATCTGCCTGAAGAATTGACTGGAAGACACTGGTAACATCTATTATAGTTTTTTACTTTAATAAGAATAGGAGTAACCCCCATGCATTTCTAAAAAAGAAAAAAGGAAAAGAAAAGAAACAACAGAAGCAGTGCGTGGGCAAGGGGAATTGGATAGCAGTGCTAGTGTGATGAACAAATAGGAGATTTTAAGTGAAAATCTGACTAAATTTCGAGTTCCCGACAGAACCTCCCCCAGTGTTCACAGTTGAAGAGGTTGGTGAAGAGATACACGAGGTGACGCGTTCCAGCGCTGCGCACGGTCACGTTCCCACCAAGCCACAGTATCCCACGTCTGCCCGATCGTCGAACACGGAAAACCGGGACCAGGGGTGGACGGGACTGGGGAGATGCCCGGGAGTGGAGTAACGACGAGCCCGGGTATCGAGGAGCTGTTTGTTGTCAAAGCGAAGAGGTTGGCAAAGGCGCGGCGAACACGGAATGTGGGGGGGGGGGGGGGGGGGGAGGGCAGGGCTGCTACTCGCGAAAACCTTGCGAGCCGGATCGACCCATCGCTGGAGAATCGACTTGGTTATGCGGTTTAGCACCGTTGTGCAGGATTCTGGACGTGGACGAAGATAAAACCAGGCTCAGGGGTGTCAGAAAAAACCCTGCTCTGAACTTTTTGCTTGACATCCAGTGGTTGATCTGTACCTCACGCCGGGATCCAGACAGATTGAGTCTCGTCTAGCGGTTAGTAGAGTACAAAAGAGCAGACGTTGCTTGAAACAGAAGCGTAATTAGATCTACAGACACAGATACACTTACTCACTCACTTACACACACATACTCCAGTGCTTATTTGAGTGGGTCAAACACACGGTAGAGGTGCTGAGTGGAGTGTGCGCCGCTGAGGGTCTGATAGAACCTGAGTGCAACAGCTGCATTGTACCATTAGCTCACCCGAACCCCGTCAGTGAAGCTGATTGTGAGGTTGCACACTTGGTAGTCTCCAAGTTGTGCTCGGGTAGGCAGAAACTGTAAGGTTATCATAAGTCATTTGTACTATGTTGCAGTACTGCGTGGTGCTCAGTTTTCGCTATTCCAACTCTCGACAAGTTGATGACACAAGCAGCAATAGCTGGAATTGCAATATAGTAGCTTTCTTCGACGCTATTAGTTGAATGTGATTCTAGTCACGTTCTTCGTGTCACTGTGGACCTTGGCTAGATTCCGTGGAACTTGTGCTGGCTTCTACTCATGTAGGAAAGCCTCGGTGTTTTCTGCCACCAATGGCCGAAAAAGAAAGATATAGACAATGTTGAAGACCATCTAGATGATTAGAAAAACAATTGAACTCAAGTACTTTGAAACTAAGAGTCTCAACATTTTTTGCAAATTCTGAGTCTGCCTTGTAGCAATATTCTTTGGTAGATCTCCCCTTCTCTGGAGGTGAACGATTTCCCTTCAGTCCTGTGTGGAGATCTCGCTCTGCGAGATTTTAATTGAAACATTTAGAAAAATAGCACCTCTATAATGGCCGTGGCAGCTCAATCTCTGTCTCTTTACAGCGACACTGGCCTCTTTTCTCAGGTGGCGCCTGTGTCCAACCCCACTCTCATGCTTAACGACAATGGGACAGTTTCTTATGGATCTGCGACGCTGTCTAGTGCTAGCGGACAATCCCTGCTATCAAACTTTGCAGACGGCTTCAGTTTCGGCAACTCCAGCTGGTCGGACACGCCATACACACCGTACTCATCCATCAGCTCCTTCAATTTTCCAAATTTTCCAGAATCTTCGAGTTCGGAGGTGCTGTGCTCATCCGAAGACCACTCTCCTGACCTTCTCCTGATGGGTAGCCACTCCGACTTCATGAGCCAGATCAATGTAGCACCCCCCAGCTTGGTTAGCACTCCGGCGGTCATGCACCCCAAATTGGTCAGCACTTTAAAAAACATGGTAGCGCCGGAGCCAGCCTCACCGCGACACAGCTCTTCTCAATATTCTTACTATTTCTTCGACCAGCAGCTGACGTCCCAACAGCAGGCAGCTAACTCGCAGCATCAAAATGATGCGGCGGCGCACAATCCCTTGTTGCATTTTCATCATTCGGCGGATCTCAAGCCCACCGTCGATGTGTCCAGTAGTGTCAGTGAGTGTTCCCAAGCTATCCCACCAACGTGCTCACAATCTTTGAAGGTATTTTCCTCTTTCATTTCTTGGTAGATGGTTTCGTTTCTACGCTCGCTAGCATTTGGGTTTCACTGGAATATCATGTTTATCAACACAATCTGCATGTTTACTTTGTCCTTATGAGACCCTCGCACATGTGACTCTAGGTTGAGAAGTCAGAGTCAGAGGACATTATCGAGGCGGCAGTGGTATCCGTAGACGTGATTCAGAACCGACGCCCTTTCCGATGTCAGCATGAAGGGTGTAACAAAACCTTCAAGAACCCACAAACCATGAAGATGCACCACAAGACGCATTACACGGACAATACCTTCAAAGCGGGTCAACAGCCCTTGCCCACTCTGAGCAACTCTCTCAAGGCTGGGCACAACAAGAAGATCCCTTCTCGATGTCCTAAATGCAAGAAGACTTTCGTGGGTCTCTACGAGCTCCGCAGGCATTACGGCCGTAAGCACTCCGAAGGCGAGAAGCCTCACGGCTGCCGAAAGTGTGGCAAGCGATTCTACATTGAGGTAAACAACTTCATCTTTACTAACATATCCGAAGCCAATATCCTTTTTCGCCTATTCATCATACTGATCACGTACATTACCTTGACCAAAACATGATTACTGAATTTGTCCTTCTTTGGCTGGTTTAGGTGGATGTCCGAGACCATGAGAAGCTGTGCGGTGAGCCAATTGAGTGCAAGTGTGGTCTCAAATTCGCCTTCAAATGTAACTTGGTGGCGCACAAGAAAGCTCACCCGGCATGTCAGGATGCCCAGACCAGCCTATCGACCTCGTCGACGACTTCAGGAGGCGCTAGCTCGATGATCAACCAGTCACCGTCTTCCTCCAGCGACTCTGACCAGAGCCCCGGCGGAATCAACTCCCCACCTTCTGGCCGTGGAACCAAAAGACCTCGCGAGGAGAGTATTAATCCTGAAAATTCCTTTCACAGTACCCCACTTCCGGAGCTGAAAGACATTCCCGAGGCGCCCCAGTTCAAGTGCGCCCGCCATGGCTACTCCGGCAGCCTTCCCTTCTCCAGCGAGACCAACAGTTCTTGGATGTCCCTCCCCAGCATCTCTCATTATCCAGAGGTCCCCACCTTCTCGCACTTCAACCCCATGTCCACGGCGTCACTCTTTCCGTCCCCGCAACAGAAGCCGTCGGGTTTCTCATTCAAGCTGCGAGAACCGATGTCTTTTGATCAGAGCTATCCCGGCTCAGTTGCAGGTTTGGAGATGGGGATTTTAAATCAGTTAGATTCTTCCACCAATTCTTCCCTTCAAAGCATGGTCCGGCTTACCTGAAGGTTATGATCAATGTATTCCTTTCTTCTGCTGGGTTCCTCACAAAGCCAGTGCGCAGCGAGTAGTCCATGTCTTGTAATTTTCCAGTCGGAAGTGTTTTCCGTGGAATCTCATAGACTTTGACCACGCCTCCCATCACGTGTGGTCAATGTCTATGAGAGATACGAGCTAACTGTGGAGTCTGAGCACTGAAGAGGTGAAGGAGTACCGTGGTACGGCACAAGGATGTCTTAATATATTCTTAGGAAATCCGACAAAAATTGTAAATCTTTCCACCGTACGGGGTAGGTTGAAGGTGGAATGAAAATAATACTAGGTCTGAGCTGCATACAAGGGATGATAGGTATTTAACTCTGTCTACTGCACCCACACATGATTAATTCTTTTGATGGGTATTCAATTCAAGATTCAATAAATTTCCTCTGAATGACGAAATTCTTCAAATCGGTCTTTGCACACGTGAACAGTAACTAGTCATTGAATCTAATATAGTTCATGCTAGTGTCCAGAGTTCCCGACGTCCGTTCTTGTTGGCACTACTGTGCAATTCATGGACAATGAAAGTGGCAGTCATGAAGAGGCCTAATCCCTCGTTCTGAAGATGCGTTATCACAGCAGTTTTGAACTGTAATGTTTCTGACGCTGTAAGTGACGACGAGGGACTCCGATACGGCTGTGAGGACAACCAGTTGCTAGTCGTGCTTGATCCTTGGACAAGCTTCCAGTGTGTGACGGACATGAAAGGGGCAATGACACTGTAACGGGGCAGCCTCCGTAAACTTATCCTCAGTTGCAGGCGCCGACACATGGGGTTGTTTTTAGAGTTGAAAGGAGGCACATGAGTTATTATTCAATACACACATGGTAGGCACATGGAAATTAAGCAACCATTATTCGAACTGGGCATTGAGGTCAATATGGGAGTTCCATATGCAGAAGCAGAACTTTATTGATTTAAGTTCCTTTGCTTTTGACATGAGAATGAAAAGCTTTATAGCCCCGACTATCAGCAGTGGGTTTCCAGTAAGTGATTCTTCTAGGGCTATTGTACTGATGGTGCACGGTTAGGAATGCGCTGACCTCTGTTTGAAGATCAGAAACATGTAATTACCTGAATCTTCCGAAATATCTAGGTCCCATCTATCTTACTATGACGGGTTCACTATGACGTCTCCATCCAGAACCATTAGAAGGCATGATGTTCAATTGCTCAATCAGTCGTTTGATGCGATTCCGTGCCGTTACACACAAATCTTCCACACACGTTTGTTCCACATTCCTGTGATGGCTGCGATGGTGCGAGTGACTCATCAAATGAGATATGACGGAGACAACATTCTAAAGATGTTGATTTGAATGACTGGATAAACCTTCCGAAAATCTGATTGCGTTGTTTTCAAGGGTGGTTTTTCAATAAGATAATTCAAGCATAAGAGTGAATAGGTTAACACATCTTCTAGTGCTTGACAAATTTGACCTCAACTACAAAAAAAAAATATATGGTGATGAATATCCGTCTTCCATGGGATTACATGATGTGCCACATGGGTTTTCCACTATTGAAGGCACGGGTGTAGGAAGTGGGATGTATTCATGCGTTTCCCATTTCCTTCGGAAGTCGTGCATATTTAACTACTAATTACGTGAGGGTTAGAACAAATAGCGAGCATAAATCACCACGCGATTTTTTTTTTTTTTTTTTTTTTTTTTTTTTTTTCTTTTCTTCTTCCTATGTAATGCCAATTTGGAAATTAAAGTTTCCGATTTAGGGACCATTTTAGAAAATATCCATAACTTTGACAATGCAATTCGGGAAATACGCGTAGTCTATATAAAGCACCTACATTTTTGCAGTTGTGATTACACCAAACCACTTAACAGATGCAGGGGAAAATCCTGAAGTAACAATGTCGAAATCAGCTGTTAAATGAGGAGACTCTTTTCTACAGATTCACAGTTTGTCAACCGCAACATAGCTATTCTGAGTCTTGAAAGAAACCCATATAGCCATTCCTAAAAAATGTTCCGAAGAAACTGAAATAAGATTCTTGAGAAAGAAAACTCAGATTTTCATCCTACTAAAGATGAGCCAACTCTAATGAACAGCCACCCAGGTTTGAGGAGCGCTACATGCCAGGGCCACCGGGCATGCCACCGCCCATGCCGGGTGGCATACCGATACTTTCTGCTAGGTTCTTCATACGATCCTTCATAGCCTGCACAATATAGTTCCAGGTTGAGAAGAAATTCATTGTAACGAATATACAATGCAGGTTACCATTCAAAGACCGTCTCTACGATGTTCAAACACCAAGAATAAAGACACATCACTTGTGAACAGCTGTTCAATCAGTCCACAACGCTCATAGTTGCTCATCATTGGCTTGAAAGGTGCAATTGGGCAATCGCAGTGCTTGCGCAATGTAGGCATAAGCACTGCAGCCCTGAGCATTCTGAATTAATATAAAGCAGTATGTGCTAAAAATATGTGGCCTAATAGTTTTACAAGGCCAAGAGAGGCTTCTACAACTTCCAGTAAAATGATGGAATCTTGGTACACCGTGTATTACAGATGAAAACTTTCTTACCGCAACACTCTTTGTGTGAGCATCTTTGTATGCTTGGGTCACCATTGCCGACAGAGCCTGCACAAACAGGGAATCGTGCACAAATCAGTTTTGTTCTTGAAAAAACCGCTGGAGATCCGATATTGGACAAGGATCCATATTGATTTCAAAGCCAGGTGCAATTCAACTGTTCCTTTCATAAAATGGAGAAGTTACTTACTTCAGGGCCCTTCTCCAAGGCGATTTCTGTGATCTCAATCCTAACAGGCTCCTGGTTGCCTGTTAAGGTCGCCTTCACAAGCTCCTCGTCACAATAACCATCGAACTCCGCACTGTAAACATGCAGAAAATGAGTTAGCTACTTGACAGAGTATACTTAACATGTCACACACGTATATCGGAACATAAGCAAACCCAATTATTTCATACATAGAGAAAGCAGAAGTGGTTGTTAATTGTTACATGCCCTTAAATAACTGGGTTTGTTTGGAGACGAAGGTATCTCATAGGAATTCGTAGGGTGCTTGGTGAGCAAAAGAGGTTTATTGACATGAATTACCGTGACTCATCTATCCCTCAGTAATCTACGCGTCAAGCATCAACCAGTTACTGTTAACACGAATAAGCCAGCCGTGGATGTTTGGGGACCAGTATCACATGTGAAGCTGGTTATTCCTAGTTTTGACGCTAGTTTGTGCTCCGATGAACATTCATTATTGGAACGGCTTGTTTTACCTTCCGTTAATAATTGTTTAAAGATACACAATCAAACTTAGTCCTTCAGGGTGTTCAAATGTCACCCAACAATAATCTCATGTGATTGAGGATTTAGGCAGATGTGAGGATAAAAGGATATCACAACGGGAAGAAAATAGCTTGTTTCTAATACACTTCTCCCTCGAAAAATCACCTTATTAAATCTACGGTTGCCGAGGTCCGGAGTCAAGCGAAATACTGAGTTATTGGAAAATCATTTAGTTCCCCTAAAATTTATAAGCTATTTCACAGAGTACTAAAGATAAAGTACTTACGCAGCAAGCTCTTTTTGAACTTTGGCAGCTTCAACTTGCACCACCTGTTGAGCCTTCTTCACCGTGTCATACAGATTCTGCATGTTTCCTAAAGCCCCTAACATATTTCCCATTCCACCCTATTGCAGTACAGAGTGTTGAAAATATCAGTACCTCGTTAATAAAACCAAATGATTCGCAGAGAAATTCCAGAAGCCGCGCCTTCAGATCTCTGAAATGCAGAGACCTAGCAAGAAGAAGAAATACTACATATTTTACTACGAAACTAATCTCAAGGCATTTAGAAACTGCAAATTCGAAACAAATCTGACAGCCAAGTCGGTGAGTTAGAATCTGAATACTTAAGGATTTCAGAAGTGTGCACTATTAGCATCTCAATTGAATCTAGTAGTCTTTTATCGAGGTGGTAACAAATCGTAGGGCAAAAAAGAATAAAATGTAAACAAGTTTACGGGGATCCAACCTGAAGTATTCAGAAAATTCATAAAAACAAAAAATCCAGAAATCAACGGTACGAAGCTATAATACCTCACCGCTTGTGAGGCTAATACTAGCGGAAAGGTCTGAATCTTAAAATTTATGGAAAGGATAGCTACATGTACTTTAAAATTCACCTTCTTATTAGTGTCGGCCGGATTCTGGTCTTTGTTACCTCCCCACAAGCTGGTAATACTCAAAGGACGCTGAGCACAGCTTAGTTGCTCATTACTCTTCTTCACAAAGACACTAGTCACCCTAGAACCTGTACATGAAAAATCAGGCCTTCAGTCACGATCTCAATCAATAATACTCCACTCTTTGCAAACTCTCCTGACCAAATAAACCTATTGAAAATTGGCCACCGAAAAAAAGACTGTGTACATAAGATGCCGAATAAACAGAGGAGTAAAGCATCTCCTCAGCACACTTGCTCCTGATCACAACACAGTAAGGACTGTGATCACTGAACGTTAGTTCATGTTCTATTAGGATTGTAGACCCTTCTGGATATTGGATTGCAGAGAAGTCAATGCATTTTTATGATAGCCTTTCGCAAACTTAACCGGAACAAATTGTGGAGAACAAGTAACAATCCCGAATTGATTACTGGTATTTGAAATCCGAGTAGCATACCTACTGAAGCATGCAAAGTCTATATCTTAACATATACCTAAACGTTTTATCATTAACATAAATTTCAGAAAGCGCTTAATTAAGACCGACAATGAGGGCACTAATCGAGATGGCTACAAGGGGATTTGTGACTTCGGTACAGGTGAAAATTCAGGGTGCCCTAGTAACCATTCGACACAATAAAAAAAAAAATCATAAGCTAGATGATCTCGAAACAAAATTATCATAAATGAAGAGTAAAATTGGACGACGAATTCAAAATCAAGCAAATAAGCTGCATTCATCTTCTGGTGTATAGCCCTCCCAAAACGTGAAAGAAACAAACCGTCAGAAATGATTGCATACGATAGAGGAATGCCATCCCAACTTCCCAGACCCTCTGAGACTCCATCCAACTGCAACCATGAATCTCGAAAAAAGTAACAACAGTTACGGGAAACAATCTCGTGTAGCTCACCTACAAAAGTAAAGAACACCTCAACGCAATAAAAACAACAACAGCTACAGTCTGCACACAACCAGGCTGCCAAGCACAAAATGCCTACACCGAAACAGCCGGAATTGGATTACAAAACGAACATTCAGCAAACGAAAACCGCACGTAAAGCGTTCCGGTTCAAAGCTTCTCTTCTCCAACCCTACAGAACCTATTTCACCTTGGCCACTCCGGAAGTTCACATTGTAGTCTGGTTTCGACGTCCACACAACTGGCATTCAAGCACGCAACCAAGAAAAATGCTCGCTCAGCTCCGATTCCGACTCATTCAGCAAGACATATTCAATTCGAGACGTGGTTTTACCGAAGGTGGACGGCGACGAGGAAGCGGCCGATTGGTTCAGCTGCTGCTGCTGCAAGGGCGCAACTCCCACGACCGCCACGGTCGCGCACGCCATAGCTACCTCGCTTCGCTCACTCGCTCGCCTGGAGGTTTCCTATCCCGTGGAGGCAACGGCTGCTGCAAACGCGAGAGACAGAGACGATGGCTATGGCGGCACTGAATCTCTAGCCGCGCTGCGAAAACTGGATTCCTTACAAGACCTCCGTCGCGCACAATAGCAATAAGCGGGAGGGATAAGGTTTTACGGTATTTGTACTCATATCCAATTATACGTACATTTGTCGTATGATTGCAGGGCGATGTGTGTGTGTGACAAATGGCGGTCGGCTTTTGAATTTGAGAGGGGGATATCTCGTGGTGTTCTCTCAAAAGCTCAGAATATCTTCTGACCTTAACGTCAAAGAAGCACTTTACCCCTTGCTCTTATAAGTTTTTACATGTTTATTTAAAAAGCTTTTATTTTTCTAGTTTTGTTAGTTTTTAGCTTCCTTGTGGATCTAATCTTATGCTTCATAAAATATGTGGTTGGTTAAATGAGAATTAATTTAGGTCATGTTTTCATGACTTGATATTTTTTATGTTTTTATATATATTCAACATAAAGTTCTATAAGTGCTCTTTAAGTCAATGATTTTACACAAATTAATTGAAAACCTTAAATCCTATGAGGTGTGAATCTTCCAATACAAAACAAATATATTCTAATGAATATAGTTGACATATATAATTGTGCTATAGGATACTACTTTTTTAACATGTACTATTTTTCTAACATCCAAAGATTCTTGGCCCAATATAGATGTATTTTTATATTTTTGATGTATGAAACAAGCTTGCAAAAAATTCAAGATATTAAGACAAGAGTGATAAGTGTTAAATATTATTACAAGTTTTTGTATGTGACAAAGTTTGTTATATATTTGATAGTTTCTAACAACCACTTTAACATATTAATACTACAAATTTTATTAAACAAAGTAAAGTACTACTATGGTTTAGCAAGGTGTTTTTATTTAAATTATTTCTACTTCTTAAATATATTTTGGTAGAATATTTTATTAAATTTATTATAAAGATAATAAATAAAAAACAAATAAATAAATAAATAAATAAAACATCTCTCATATTAGATAAGATATTAGATTTTTTATTGAGTCTTTTTATAGTAAAATTTAATATAGAATAAAATAACTTAAAAGAATATTAAAAAAATATAATATGACTCATTTGTGAATTCTTTGGTCATTTTATTAACTAATATAACTATATAAATTTTGTTAAGAAATATCTACATAATTTGATCAAAAGTTGACTAATTCTTCATCTATTTGTGTATCACTTTTTATGTAGATAATATTTATTCTTGTGAAGTAGAGAATCTTACTTTTATTAACATAACTACAAATGAAGAACAAAAAATGCTTGCAAAGGGTGGAAATGATACATTCAAGATATTGAAAGAAACTAAAAGTTATTCACTTTGATTTTTGTTTGTTACCATATTAATTTATGTTATTTTATATTCAATATTGGTATTTTCAAGATTGACTAATATAATTACATTATACTTTTAAGTTATCTTGGATGGATTCTATTTACATATACTTTTCTATTGACATGTATTCCTTGTATATTTTTTTAAATTTTTTATGTATTAGAGATTATTTCTCAATTTTTGTTTAAATTCAAATTATATCTTTTGATGATGCTTGAAAAAAATATATTTTAATTGATTCTACATATTAATAAATATTTGATTTTTTTGACCAATTTTGTGTTGCTATTTGATTTTAATTTGACTTTTGAATTTAGGTGGAGGCATGCCTCTAGTGCTAGAGATGTCCTTTGTATTACATTTTTTAATTGAAACACTTCTTAATAGCACTTTATGACAACCAATCACAAAGAAAATCTTCTTTTTTGTTGTAACAATATGTCATACATAGAAAATTGAAGGATGTACAAAGATCAAGAAGTACAAGTAAGCAAATGAGAGCATATGTAGCATGTAGTTGGAATATAAGCTACAAGTAGATGTGTTGAGGTAAAAAATAAAGATGAATAGATAATAGTTAAAGTAGAATAAGTTACCTTGTAAAGGATATTACCTTAGGTAAGTTGCTAATGGTCAAAGGCTTGACTCTTGGCATATAGAAAAAGCATCCTATGGACATAGGATGCAGTGAAGGACAAAGAGTCAAAGTCAAGAGGATAAAGTGTGTCCTAGAGAATATCTAAAGAACTAGGTAAGAGTAATTAGTATATGGCATAGGATACCCTCGTGGTATGTAAGATGCTATAGGATCCTTGGATACCCTCGTGGTATGAGCCAAAGGATCCAAGGAACATATGTGTAAAAGTCAAATGGTGGAAGAAGTCCTTTTAGGGCAGCAACCACCACCTATAAGTAACGAGAGTTGGAAGAGAGAACCATCTCATTCCACACTTCTCTTATGTGCAACATTGCTGATTTCTACTACTTGTGTTAGCTTATAGGTTCTTTCTCATAGCTATGGGGTCCTCTGATCGCTGCAGGAGCAGCTGCCTGCCTCTACTCTGGCGGGTGTGGTCTTTGTTACTTTTGTGTGAATTAGATCTTATGATATTTGTTGATGTTAAGTTTGTTGGTATAAGGGTGCTATTGGTATTAAGCTTGTACAACTCTAACATTGCTTTGTGGGTTCTTATCTCCTTGCTTTGTGAGAATAAGACTTTGTAGAAAGGCCTTGATAGTGTCTTTTGAGTTGGTGAAGTTTCTTCATTATTCTTGAGTGTTTTGATGAGAAAGTGATTAAGACGAGTGATTGTGAGTTCCATGAGGGTGCAATTACTTGTAGAAAGCTTCACAAGTTGAGTTGAAAGTGTTTTCAGTGAGATACCACTCTTTTGTTCATAACAGGGCATTTTAAGATTCTGCTAGTGCAAACTTTGTTTGGTGATTTTAAGCTTTTAGAGACTCCTTTTCTCAACATTTTTTTAATACACTCCTCCTTAGACATGGCTTCTAGTGAGGGTGAAGGTTTGAGAGTGATTGAGAAGTTTAGAAGCAACAATTTCTACCATTGGAAGGTCAAAATGGAGCTTTTGTTGGCGTCTTTGGACCTTTGGGATATTATAGATGAGAGTGAAGACCCTCCAAGCATAGATGCAAGCCCTAAGGACCACAAGGACTTCAAAAGACATGAAAAGAAGGCTTTTGGCATAATTGCCACCAATTTGGATGAAGCCAACTTTTCTTATATTATCCATTGCAAAGGACCAGCGGAAGCATGGAAGATACTTTGCAACATATATGAGAGCAAGAACTTGTCCAACATCCTCTTCACAAGAAGGAAATTCTTCACTTGTAAGATGGAAGAAGGTGAAGACCTCATGGCACATGTTAATAAAGTAAAGGCCCTTGCAAATCAACTAGCAATTGTTGATAAGCCTTTAGAGGATGGTGACATTGTCATGACTCTACTCATGAGTCTTCCCGAGTCCTACAACTACCTCATTGTGGCATTGGAATCTTTGAGGTCGAAGGAGCTTACAATGGACTATGTGACATCAAGACTTGCACATGAAGTAACTAAAAGGAAAGAGAAGGAGCATCAAAGTGAAGATTCAGCTCTCTTCTCAAGACAAGGCAAAGGTACCTATTCCAACCAATATGACAATGTGAGAAGCAATGCAAGAACTTGCTTCATTTGTGGAAAACTGGGTCATTTTGCACGAAATTGCTACAAGGCCAAGAAAGGAGATAGAGAAAATGCTAACAATGCATGTGATGAAGTTGGTGGAGATGATTATGCATTCATGGCAAGTGAAGGCACGTCTATGGCTGCCATGTCCAAATGGATCATTGATTCGGGTGCTCCAAGCACATGACTCCATACAAGTGTTCATTTGACACTTATGAGACTATTCCAACAACAAAAGTATGGTTAGGAGATAATGGCATGGTGCAAGCCATTGGAATTGACTCCATTGTGGTGGAGATTGTTGTGAAGAATCAAATGAAGAAGATCAGATTGAAAGAAGTGTTACATGTGCCAAAGATGAAGAAGAACCTTCTTTCGGTGAGTAAACTTGTTTCTCATGGTTGTAAGGTGCAATTTGATATGAATGGATGCTTTGTGAAGACAATGGATGGAGATAATCTTTTGAAAGGCTTTAGAGATGGCAATCTCTACTTCATCAATTGTAAGAAGGTGAATGGAGTTGAAGTGGCGGTATTTGCTGAATTTCCACAAGATCAAGACAAGTTTGGCATTTAGCATCGACGCCTTGGTCATTTAAATGCCAAAAGTATGAAGGAGCTCCAATCCATGGTTAGTAGCTTAGATCTTGGTCAATCATGCACAAATCTTACTTGTAAAGGTTGTATTCAAGGCAAACAACAAAGAGCTTCATTTCCAAGTGGAGTTGCAACACGTGCAACCAAATTGTTGGAGATTGTGCATTCTGATGTTTGTGGACCTATGAAGACACCATCAATGGCAGGATCAAGTTACTTTGTTACATTTATTGATGACTTTTCAAGGAAGGTGTGGATTTTCATCCTTAAATCCAAGAGTGAATGCTTTTCAAAGTTTAAGGAATTTAAGGCACTTGTGGAGAAGCAATGTGAGTGCAAGATCAAGATGTTGCATATAGACAATGGAGGTGAGTATTTGTCAAAGTATTTTGATGAGTATTTGAAGATTCATGGTATTGCAAGATAAACTTCCACTCCCTATACTCCACATTAAAATGGAGTTGCTGAAAGAGAAAATTGAACTATTGTGGAGATGGCAAGGAGTATGATTCATGCTCAAAACCTTGGGCATGAATTTTGGGCGGAAGCTGTGGTGAATGCAGTATATACAAGGAATAGGTGTCATTCAAATGCACTTACATCAATGACTCCACAAGAAGCTTGGAGTGGGAGGAAACCTTGTGTTTCACACATGAGGACTTTTGGATGCATTGCTTATGCAAAGGTACCAGATTGTATGTGGTCCAAATTTGATACAAAAGGTACAAAATGTGTGTTTCTTGGATATTGTGAAGGTACCAAGGCATATAGGCTAATGTGTTTGGATACCAAGAAGATCATCAAAAGTCGTGATGTTGAATTTATGGAGCATAAAAGTGCTTGTGAGCACTTGGAGATGTGTCCAAGTGGGAGTAATGGTGTGTTTGTGGACACATCTTCAATTTCAGCAACGAAAGAAGAAGAAGAAGATGAAGACAATGAAGATAGT